GGTTTACAAAATTTTTTATATGATGCACAATGTGCTCGTGAGGCACTAGCTAAATTTTTAACTAGTATCGAATTACCATTGTCTTTTGCATATGATGAAGCATTTGAAGAATTTATTCAGACTATATTTTGTCCACAATTTAAAGGGGTTAGTAGAAACATAACTAGAGTTGATTGCATGAAAGTTTTTTATGCAATGAGACAATAACTTGTTGATAATTTTAAGTTTTTTAATGATACAGTCTCTTACACATTTGCTCTTTGGGAGGGTTGTAATAGAACTGGTTATTTATGCGTCACGGCTCATTATGTTGACGGGGATTAGGTTTTGCAAAAGTGAATTATTAGTTTTTGTTTATGTCCTTTTTCACATAATGCAAACGCTATTTTTTCTACTATTATGGAAATTATTAATTTTTATGGCATTGAAGATAAAGTCTTAACCATTACTTTTGATAATGCATCAGAAAACACAGCTGCTATCAACATGTTCACAGTAAATTTGAAACCACCTTTTGGTGGAGAAGTTTTTCATCAACGTTGTGCATGTCATATCATAAACTTAGTAGGCCAAGCTAGTACTGAAATTATATCCCATCATCTAACTAAAATTAGAGAGGCGTTATCTTTCATCTCTAGTTCGGGAGCTCGGCACTAAGAATTTCGCCAATATTGCAGGAATAGCCAGATGAGGCCAAGAAAGTTTCCAATAGATGTTCGACATAGGTGGAACTCCACCTACTTAAGGTTGAAAACTGCTATTCTGTATCAACAAATAATCACTACATATGTGAACAGTAAGCATTGTGAGCATTTTATTTATGATGCAGATTGGAAGATTAATGAGTACTTTTTTAAATTTTTAGAAGTATTCTACAATGCTATCGAATTACTTTCTGGTGTGTATTATCCTACTGCTCATCTTGCTTTGCATCAATTATTTAATATTTCTGAAACATTTGCTTATTATAGGGATACTGATCTTTTTGCACCCATAGTAAATGAAATGGAAAGAAAATTTAAAAGTTATTGGGTCGGTTGTCCAATCTTATATACATTAGTAACAATTGTAGATCCTGGATGTCAATTAGATGGTACAGAATCTTTGATGTGTGCTACCGCAGATAATTTATGTATTGATATGGAACTAACAATTGATGATACAAGGAAAATGTTAGAACATATGTTTGCATTGTATGAAAAAAATACAGAACAAGACAACAATGACAGTCAACTTCAACGTCAAAGAGCAATTATGGGCCTAAAGGTTCAAGTGGAGCTTCTTGAAGAGAAAAGAGAAAGCATCGGGATCATCATCAACACATGGACCGTCTTCATAACTTGTCAAATATTTTGAGTTAAATTTTGTAATTAATGACGACAAACTAGACATCTTACAGTGGTGGAAGAGCAAGCAAGATCGTTTTCCAACATTATCCATTATAGCATGTGACATTTTGTCATGACCTCAAAAATAGGATCGTAATTATTGGAGTTTAATTAAAAAAATTAACTTAATTAAACTGGACTGTTTAACAAAAATCACAAAAATAATACATAAATATCTATATATTTTGCTCCAGAGACTTTCTTTTACAAATAATATCAAAACAGTCCACAAGTTTAAACTTTACACATCTCAAGGACAATGCCGACCAATACAGATCACATACAAATATACAATACAACTTTAGAATTTAAAAACTGTAAATTTCTAATTAAAATAAGCCACCTCGTATCTCGAGCCTTCACTCCATTGGCGTCAGCTTGCCACGTTGCTAGTCAAGCTACTAACTCTGGAGGGGGAAAAATTTAAAATAAGGGTGAGCCTAATGCCCAGTAGGAGAATAAGAGTAGATTACAATGAAAAACAATTTTAGAAATAATAGTTTAAGTATTTGAAATCCTCAATTCTAAACCTTGACACCTGCTAGGGGTAAACTTAGAACTGAAAATCTTAACAGGTGTAGACATCTTTTGAATAAAATGGATAACCACGTATTTTAAAACCCCTTTTTAAAAAAAAAATACTAAAACTTTCTCAAATTCATTTCCAATAGTACAAGGAATCTAATCCTTCAGGTAATCAACAAGTACCAAGTACTTGTAATTCCATTTAAATTCTAAAGCATCCGAGAACTCGAAGTTCATAGGAGAATACTAGAAATCCTACACCGGTAACTCGAATGCTTTCTAATAGTACTGGACATAAAGTCTAACATCTGTTCTAAATCAATATACACCCCGCGTGGGTTCTGGGTCCTGCCCCTAAGGATATGATCTCCATATCCTACTCTTCAGGCAATCAAGCACAATAAGTATCTAACTGCTCATCAGGTCAGTGTTCAAGAGCGATTTGCTTATCAGAACAGTGCCACGAGCTCTGCATGTTTATACACCATGCTCGAATTTATTTCTAATTTGAGACATTTTTTTCTTTTTGAAATTCTACTTCTGTAAACTATGATTCGCGAATATCAAGTTTTCTAGAAGATTTTTTTTCATATATGTATGATTACTCCACATATATTTATTCATAGACTTTTCAAAAATCTTCTTAAAATCACTGACCAAGAAAAATTGAATTCTTCACCAAAAGGAAGAATTCCTTGAAACACTTTTAAAAAGGATGAGAAATACATTCTCATTTTTAAACATGGTTATAACTGGAGAAGTATGAAAAATTATGGCTTAAAACTGATTTTCAAACATTTTTGGGCGGTTTTAGTTACCACCGGTCGACCGCTAGCAGCAAAGTGCAACTCCACTGGGTGGATGGCCGGTGGAGTGCATACCGGTCGCCTGGTGCGGGCGACTGGAGCTGTTCCACAAGCTGGAACAACTTGCTGCTTCAGCAAGAAACTTTGCCAAAAACATGCATTTTTGAATCACCTTCACCAATAACTCACGGAAAGAAATTTTATACATATCCAGCATACCAAATCAAGAGTTGTAAACTAAAATCCTTAAGTAATTCAACATACTTCTCCATAAACCAAGTTCAAACCCCTTTATCATCAATGAAACTCAATTCTTGAAACTCAATCCTCAAAATTCAAGAATTTTACCAAATTAAAGAGAATTCATAACTTCAAGAGGTGCTCAACAATTTCCTTTGATCAATCACCAACTAAACAAAGCTAGACAATAAATCACCAAATTTTAAATATGAAAATTGAAGGAGAAGAAGAAAACCCCTACCTCAAATATAGCTCCTTCTTCAAAATTTCTTGAGGGCTTAGCATCCCGACGTCGTCCTCAACATTTTGAATCATGTAGTGTCGACTTCCACCGTTAGAAACGGCAGCTCACGGCGTGGGCGGCGGCGGAGCTCCGGTGAGCTATCGGGCATGATGGATTTTCTACATGCAATTTGGGTGTCTTCTCGTTCTCCTCTCCGTTGTTAATTCATAGAAACGAAAATCACTCAATTCCGATCAAGAACAAGTGAGATATGGAGTTTTGAAATTGAAGATAAAATTTTAGAAAGAAGAGAGAGAGAGAGTTCGGTGAGAGAGAGCTCCACGAGAGTGAGAGAAAATGTCTCGCGGAAGGAAAGAAAAAGGAAGAAAAAGAAAAAGAATAAGAAAAAAGGAAAAAGCAAGAATAGAAAAAATGGGTTTGGACTCTTTGTACAAGTTTACTATTTAGAATTTAAAATCCAATCTAACTAAAATATGAAATGGCCCATCATTTCTGTTCCAAAAAATTAGCTACTTCCACTTTAAATATGTTAGAGGATAGCAGCGTCAATTCTAAAGCAATCCTTTTTAAAGGTGAGAAATCCTTTACGTGATAATTTTAACTGAAAATCTTTTATTAATCTCAGATTAATTAACCTTAACAACCGGATTACACTAATTAATCTTAATTATTTTGACCGGATGTTACACATTTTGACAACTCCAGTGTCCACAGTAGCATGCATTTAGTGCAAGTAATCGAATTCTTGACAATAAGAGGAGCAAAATGTACCCGGATATCTTGGAGGGGCTAATGTGCGTGAAAAACTGAGAATATACAAGAAGACGAAAACAACATTATACAGACAATACACTTCTAAATTATGTTTCAAGCTTAGACATAATAGAATCTTCTGGAAGAAATTCGGCCAAAGTGTAATTTAATTATCCTTGTATACTGCACTTTTTTTTTCCTTCGCTAAGGTTTTGTCCCGATCTCCCAATGAGTTTTACTTGGCAAGGTTTTTTAACGAGGCAGTCATTTATGTGTAATTATTCATATTATTTCAATTCAATAAAATCACATTTTTTTGCGGCATATGATATATTTCTTTTTTTGTCATTAAATATGATAAAAATGCGAATCGAATGCAATCCGATCGAATGATGCGTGCTCAATAGCCATAAATTAGACCGTTGAGCTTAGACAGATTGAAAAGGGCCATGGCTGGCCTGTGAAGGGCCTGGGCCTGACCCTAGCCCTTATAGATAAGGGCCTAGGACAGACCCTCCAGCCTAGCCCAGGCCCGTGACGGACCTAGAGTTAGAAGGGTTGTGCCGGTCCGACACAGTCCTTTTGACACCACTAAGGCCTCATTCACTTTGCGGATTCGAGTTTTCAATTCGAGTTAAGATGTAACATTTTCGGAGAGCTTTTCACTGTAGCAGAAAAAGTTGAATGTGACATTTTCTGAGAACTTTTTATTGTAAAAATTTAAAATTAAAAACTCAAATCGGTGAATGAACAAGGCTTAAGTTTAGTAAATAAGTTAATTACAAATATTTATCTTTTTTTCGGTTTAACGTATTATTTTTCAATTTTTTCTTTAAAAGAAAACTTTTTTTTTTTTTTACTGATTTTTATGGGGAAATCCGAAATCTGTAATTAATTTATTTACCAAGATCATCTAGCGAGTTCCTTCGGGAAAAAAAATAAAATAAGATAAAATTCTTCGTATCAATTTATTCTATTTTTGAAAACGTCAATAGATATGTTATTTGCTACAATCCGTAATAACCCCAATTGAGAACCCCAAATCAGCCCAATAGCCCAACCCTACTACAGAACTCTTTTTCACTCCCGCGGGAGAATTCCACCGGCGAGATCGCCGAACCGCCTGAGAAGCGCAACGGTTGATAATTTCGGGATTTTTGAAATTGGGCTTTAACAAAACTTGTATGTTTTCCATTTATTTTCTGCAAAAATGGGACTCTTTAAGTTGAAAAACATCCTTCGACGACAATTCCTCGTATCTTCTTCTCCTTCAATTTCCTCGCCGACAACAAGACGACGCCTTTCTTGTCCCAGTGATGTCATCTTCACAGGTTTGATCAAACCCAAATACCATTTTCCAGGATATTCATTTTTTCCATGTTCAAGCTTCGGTTTAGTTCGGTTATGGAGTCCCCCAAATACTTGTTTTGCTGTTTCCAATGTCAGATTCTGTTCTGGAATTGTTAGGTTAGATAATGATTATGATGATGATGATGTTGAGAAACTTTACAAGACTATTATGGAAAACTCATACTCACATTCAAAAATGGAAGAAGCTTTGGACCAAGTTGGTGTTAGGTTGACCACTGATTTGGTTGCTGAAGTTCTCCACCGGCTTCGTTTTGAGGAGAGATTGGCGTTTCGGTTTTTCAATTGGGTTGGTCACCGAGAAAATTATGCCCATGAATCTAGGGTGTATAATGATATGATTGACATATTGTCTAGTACAAAATACAAGATCAAACAGTTTAGAATTGTTTGTGATATGTTGGATTACATGAAGAGGAATGACAAGAAGACTGTTCCTCTAGAGGTTTTGCTAACGATTTTGAGGCGATATTGCGAGAAGTACCTGACCCATGTGCAGAAATTTGCTAAAAAGAAGAGGGTGAGAGTGAAGACGCAACCCGAGATTAATGCCTTTAATTTGTTGCTTGATTCTTTGTGCAAGTGCAGTTTGGTTGAGGATGCTCAGGGGATGTTTGATAGGGTGAGGAGAAGAATCAAGCCCGATTCCAATACGTACAACGTTTTGTTTTTCGGGTGGTGTAGGGTTAGAAACCCAACTAGAGCGATGAAGGTTCTGGAAGAAATGATTGAGATGGGTCTTACGCCTGATAATTTCACCTATAATACCGCCATTGACTCGTTCTGTAGGGTGGGGATGGTGAATGAAGCGGTTGAGCTTTTTGAGTTCATGAGAACAAGTGGCTCCACAATGTCATCTCCTACAGCTAAAACTTATGCAATCATGATCGTGGCTCTTGTCCGAAATGGTAGAATGGAAGAGTGCTTCAAGTTTTTGGAACTTATGATCAGTAGCGGTTGCATTCCTGATGTTTCGACGTATAAGGAGTTAATCGAAGGCATGTGTTTGGCTGGAAAAGTTGACGTGGCATACAAATTTCTTCAAGAGATGGGAAACAAAGGTTTCCCTCCTGATATTGTCACTTATAACTGTTTTCTCAAGGTGCTGTGTGACAATAAACAGCGTGACGAAGCGCTTAGGCTTTTTGGGGTAATGTGTGACGGGGGTTGTATTCCTAGTGTGCAAACATATAATATGCTGATTTCCATGTTTTTTGAGATGGGCGATCCAGATGGGGCGATTGAGACTTGGTACGAGATGGATAAAAGGGGTTGCACACAGGATATCGATAGTTATTGTGTGATGATTGAAGGGCTTTTCGGCTGCAATAAAGTGGAAGATGCATGTGGTCTTCTCGAAGATGTCATGAACAGAGGAATGAAACTGCCATATAGGAAGTTTGACGCCTTTCTGGCACAGCTTTCTGCGGTTGGTGATCTACGGGCTATCCATAGGCTTTCAGAACATATGAGAAAATTTTACAATCCTGCGATGGCTAGACGTTTTGCCCTGAATGAAAAGCGGAAAAGCATGAGCTTTAGAGGGAAGTAATGAGATTCGAGGTCAGGCAGAAATGTTTTTGTTGCTGCAATTCCTCTATGCTACTGCCAAGGCAATTTTAATGAACAAAGCCGGCAATTCATTGTCGCATTTCTTTCATACAAGAAATTTCAGAAAAGTGTGGCATGAATCCTATACAAGTCCCTCCATAGAGGTAGAGCTCCACCCTTTGCTGATGATGATCAAATTTTTCGGAGATTGCAAGTTTGAGCTCAATTCCTTCTATGAAATATCTCTGAGATCTGATTACAGACCAAATCTCTGTTTATCCAAAACTAGAAGCTCCAAATCAGTGTTGCTTAACCAAGCTTGGGAAACCAAAATATATTGGCTCTTCTTATACAGTTGAAACAAAATTATGTCTGAATAAAATTGGGCTTTTTTTTTTTTTATGAATCAGTTCCCTTTTGGATGGCCTAAACTTGAGAAACGCCTTTCCTATATCATTTATGAGAAGGCCCAAGTGTGTATTATGATTGATATGTTACATGGAGGTTAATAAAATTTCAGATGCCAATAATACATTCCTGTTACTCGCCATTGGAAAGCAGTATATGGCTAGCAATGTCTTGTATCAAATCGATTCATGCTATTGCTTTATTTTGTCTCAAGAGCATAATTACTAGTATATTTTTGTGTAACAAAGTTAACAATTGTTGTTTGATTTTGTCTCAGAGCATAAGCTTCACTCGTGTAGTATTGTACCATTTCCTTTTTTCTCTTCTTTTTTTAGATCAACGTGAGTTGTTCTTTTTATAACTCAAGTCACAACTCAAATCCTATTATTACAGTATTTTTTCTCACAAAAATTCAAAATTAACTTTTTTATTACAATATTTTTTTCTCATATACACAACTTAAGTTCTCAACTAGAGTTGTTAAAAGAACAACAATAAGCTAGTGCTCACTTGTTACAATTAATTCAAAGCTGTGTTTTTTTTTGTTTTTTTTTTTGTTTTTTTGAGCCATTTCATGTTTTCTTCTCTTCTTCTTCTTCTTCTTTTTCTGGTAGTTTCCCTTTTAGTTTGTTTTTTATTCTGTTTGCATTTTTTTTTTTTTGCTTTGTTTTGATTTTTTTTAGTTGGTTTATGTTGCTTTATTTTTTAGGCTCCTATAACTCCAATCAATTTTCTTCCAACCAACACTCTGATCTTACCCACAAGCCCCTTGTTATACAACAAAAGTTACTTTCTATATATATTTTTGTTTGTCCTCAAAACCGTCATGAATTATTCAAATTGCATTATTGTATGAACTACATGTATCAAATAAATGCTTTGGCTCTTCAAGTCCAAGTAAAAAAAAAAAAAAAAAAAAAAAAAAAAAAAAACCCTTTTTTTTTTTTTCTTTTTTTCCCATTTTATTTTTATTTTTTATTCTTGCCATCTATTTCCTCATATTCAACACGTATAGAAAGATCCTATATAAGCATATATAGAATTTGCCCCACTAAAGCTTCTTTTTCTGTAGCTTTATCTTTATCTTTTGTTCTCTTTGTGTGAATGGTTTAAATCTCCTTTTCTCCTCTCCTCCTCTCAAAGTCATAGAAAGCGAAGATAATACTTGGCTCAAGGAGGTTCGATTCCACACCGACTTAGTCTTTTATCCATGCATTATTGTCTCCCACTTCATAAAAACCACTTTTAATAACTAGTTAAAACTCAACAATATAGAATATTAATTTATTGCTTCTCCAATATATTCTTACCATTTGTTGCATCATGGACAATAATTTTTAAGTTAATGTTCATGATTTTAAATAATATAATAAAGAAAAAAGAAAGTTGTTTCAATCAACTTTAGGTTAATCTTACAAATGGTCTCTGAAGTTTAACTCCAATCTCTCTTTAGTATCTGACTTTTTAAATGTTATATAATTAGTCTCTCAGAAATCATTTATGGAATTAACCCTTCATTTTACTAATAAAGGATCTGGCTGGAACCAAAATTAGTGCCCTTCAGTCACTAATAAAGAGGAAGGTATACACATCTATTTATTTATTTATTTTCCTTGTAAAAAAGGATTAGCTAATATTTATATATATATATATCATAATCTTAGAAAACAAATACAACAAAGAAATATAAATCTCATTAGTTAATTTCAGCTTGACTTTCATATTTAGGGAAAACAAAACTTATACGGTTTGAAATGTTAGAGTGATGAGATCATATTTTATGTTAATTCCACATCATTAATTCCTTGCAAGAAGTCAATTTTAATTAAGTAATGTTATACCTTAATCTTGGTAAGTCAATGTCAGCTCTTCACGTTATCATTTAAAGACGGAAAGACAAATTTATTATCAACTCCTACAGCTCAAACAACATTCGATAATTTCTTAAGTGTATTCAACTGTCTTTCTCTTTACTTGAAATTCTATTTTTTCCATTTTGTCACTTGTAAATATACGGTTAAACATGTTAATTTGTCTTTCATGTACCTCTGTTCATTATTTCCCCTAATTTAAATTTTTTAGCACCAATAAGAGGTATTGATGTTAATTTGTCTTCCATTGATGAGAAGAGCAATTTTATGTTTCTTTTTTTTTTTTCTGACGAACTATAGGCCCTGTCACAAAATGCATCTAAATTTTAATTTTAACTTTTTTTCTCTAAATTTCAGTATCTCTTGCAATTTTTTCTCTTTTGTCAAATTTTTACTCTCGTTATCGTTTTTGGTTGCCGTAGTTGAACCCCCAAAGCTCCTTAAGTCAAGCAAGTAAAGGAGAAGATTAAGTATAGTAAAAAAAAAAATTTGATAAGTCCTGCTACGTAATTACACTTTTGTGTAACGGTAAGAGGAGGAACTAACAGAGTAAATTGTTCATTAAATGTTCAATAACACTAATTATTTTTATAATACGTGTTATTTCTATTAAAAATCTTAACATATGGAGTTGTTTTTATTACTTTTTTCATTTTACATGACATTTTATGACAATAATTTAACAGACGGGCGAAAATTTATAAGAGTTATTGGAGTTCGAAAGGAAAAAAGCTAAAATTAAAGTTTATAGGGCATTTCGTGACAAGACCTATAGTTTAAGGGGAAAACGTGTAATTTGTCTTTTTTTTTTTTTTTTGTTATGTTTTCATGAGTATATGCGGAATTTTATGTTTGACATTCTGGTATAGTTTCTGTTAGTTGGTTTTTGTAGCTTTATTCTTGATTCTCTTGTAACTCCAATCAACTTTCTCCCAAGGCTGACCAACACTATAATCTTACCACTATGTTAGATGCTGTTCGTGTGTACCGCTTTTCTTTTTGTCTTTTTTACTTCTTTTACAATAATACCATTTAATTTTTTAGACTTCTAATACAATGTTACTTTAAGAGAGAAAAGAAAAAGAACAAGCCAAAATGAATATGAGACAGCATTGAATTAAGGAATGCTAGCTAGATAATGAAACACCAAAGATGCTCAAGCTGATCCTCAAGGTATCACTTTTTTTTAGAGAATTTTTGTTTTTTACAAAAAAAATTTCCGCTAAAAGAAGAGCCATAGCGCAAATGAACTTTGTTCAAAAGTATAAGCACCAATCTTGCATAAAGATAAGAAACATTGCAAGTGGGCAACAAAGTAGAAGAAATATATATATATATTTATATTTATATCACTAATATTAACCATGTTAAATGGATAGACTTCCTAGCTGGAATACCCAAAAAAAAAAAAAAAAAGGGCCCTTTTTTTTTTTTTTTTGGGTATTCCAGCTAGGAAGTCTATCCATTTAACATGGTTAATATTAGTGATATAAATATAAATATATATATATATTTATATTTATATCACTAATATTAACCATGTTAAATGGATAGACTTCCTAGCTGGAATACCCAAAAAAAAAAAAAAAAGGGGCCCTGTTTTTCCATGTAGAATTTAGAGGGAAAAGGAAAGGAAAAAACATGATGTTCTTCTTGTAGGTTAGGTAGATAGATAAATTATCTTTATTTATAAAGTGGTGAGAAAGAAGCAGAAGAAAGAAACTAAAATGTTTATTTTCTTATCTATATAAAAGTTTCTTTTTTTTTTTTCTTTTATCATCATTGATAGAGCAGAAAAATGCTAAGAATCTGATCTAGTTTTTCTTTAACTTTCCCAAACCACGTTGATAAACATATGTACTCTTTTTATCTTGCTTTGAAAGAATTCATTTAATTAATTGGAATTATTGGTTCAGTACAGAAGACGTCTCACATTTTCATAAAAACTTTGAAATTTTATATTTGCCACATCATGGAATGAAATTTTAAAAGCTTTTGGTTACAATAATATAAATATAACCAATTAAACAATCCCATATGAATTGGAAATTTTTTTGTGGATCAAGGTTGATATAGATAACTTCTAGAGTTTTTGAGGAGAAATTAGAAGAAAAATTTGAGGGAGATCAATTGAACTTTATAAGATATTAAATTTTTATATTAAAAGATCAATTTGTTAAGTGGAGTGACTTAATATCCTTATATATTTGTGATTATATTTATGTTTAGACGATATGAGACTCGATTATTTTATCCATAACATTAAAAAAAAAACAAAAAATAAATTAATATCCGGGACCCTCAATCATATCTAGTATATCTAATTACTTTCACCATCATGAGCGACTGATGTGCTTTCTTAGAACAATTATTCTCAAGAACATTCTCTGATCTCCTAAAGAGAAAGTCACAACTTACGAGAGAAGATGAAAAAGATAAAGTTTGCTTTAGTATTTTTTAGTTTTCAATTCAAAAAATAAAAAAAATTCTCAAGGAAACAAAAGCAAACTGCAAAAGCCATGTCTCGTGTGCTTTGCATTCTCACGCGGTTGTCTCTTCTCACTCTTTGCTGTCTCACGTGCCCTCTTCACACAAAGCTAATAATATTCCTCTTTAATTCACTTTTTTGCACTAATTTTTGTTGAAGTCCATTTCTTAGCTACTTATTTCGTCCCTTCAAAAAATGTATAATGAAAAATTAATCATAGACATAATCATGGCTATATAACTAATTAATGACTCACTAGACAAAATAATTTGATCAATTAATCTACTCTTTTTATAAGTATAAAGAAAAAGTATGGTTATGTAGCTAGTTGCTTGATAATTTTATTTTTTAATATGAACAACGCAGAGAGAAAGCAGTAAAGCCTACTTAATGGAGTTGAAACATATACTTTTCAGCTAAATCATGGTTATAATTACTAGATAAATCTCTTCTCAAAAAGATTTAAGAAAAAAATACTAGATTAATCATAAGATGAAATAATATTTAACCTATATCCTTCTTGAAGCCTAATAAAAAGATTGATCCTTAACGATCGAAGTTGTAACATAGATAGTTCAATATATAATATGTGTGTATATATGGAGACTTTTATGTTAGGACTTAGAAAAAAAAAAGCTATCAGTCGGAAAAAGAGCTATCCGTCGGTTTTCATATTTCAGTCGTTATATTCGTATTAAAAACTATCTGTACCGTAAATATACATAACGATTAAAAAATATATGCTACCGATGTAAAACCAGATTGTAGAAGAACCCGTGTGTGTGTGTGTGTATATATATATATATATATATATATATTTGTATGCGTGTATATGTAAATAATGTGAGACTGTGTTTTGAAGTGCATTCACGCTTTTACATCAGAGCGTAGAGCGATAGAAAAAGCAAAAGAGAGGAGTAACGGTCGGCTTCATCTTTAGACTTTAGCCGCGTCCATAACATATATGAACAATGCAGAGAGAAAGCAGTAAATCCTACTTAATGGAGTTGGATCATATACTTTTCAGCTAAATCATGGTTATAATTACTAGATAAATCTCTTCTCAAAAAGATTTAAGAAAAAAAATACTAGATCAATCATAAGATGAAATAATATTTAACCTATACTCCTTCTTGAAGCCTAATAAAAAGATTGATCCTTAACGATCGAAGTTGTAACATAGATAGTTCAATATATAATATGAGTGTATATATGGAGACTTTTATGTTAGGATTTAGAAAAAAAAAAGCTATCAGTCGGTTTTCATATTTCATCGTTACATTCGTATTAAAAACTACCTATACCGTAAATATTTTTATTTTGATGTAATTTTAATCAGATTTAATGATTAAAAAACATATGCTACCGATGTAAAACTACATCGTAGAAGAACCGAGTTGGAACATATACTTTTCAGCTAAATCATGGTTATAATTACTAGATAAATCTCTTCTCAAAAAGATTTAAGAAAAAAATACTAGATTAATCATAAGATGAAATAATATTTAACCTATACTCCTTGAAGCCCAATAAACAGATTCATCCTTAACGATCGAAGTTGTAACATAGATTGTTCAATATATAATATGAGTGTATATATGGAGACTTTTATGTTAGGATTTAGAAAAAAAAAAGCTATCAGTCGGTTTTCATATTTCATCGTTACATTCGTATTAAAAACTACCTATACCGTAAATATTTTTATTTTGATGTAATTTTAATCAGATTTAATGATTAAAAAACATATGCTACCGATGTAAAACTACATCGTAGAAGAACCGAGTTGGAACATATACTTTTCAGCTAAATCATGGTTATAATTACTAGATAAATCTCTTCTCAAAAAGATTTAAGAAAAAAATACTAGATTAATCATAAGATGAAATAATATTTAACCTATACTCCTTGAAGCCCAATAAAAAGATTCATCCTTAAAGATCGAAGTTGTAACATAGATTGTTCAATATATAATATGAGTGTATATATGGAGACTTTTATGTTAGGATTTAGAAAAAAAAAAAAAAAAAAAAAAAAGATCAGTAAG